AATGTACCCTAGCTTATTTTTTGTTTCACTGAATCCTACTCTGCTAGGGTGTATCACTTAAATCTCCTTTTGGTTTCCCCCTCCCCATAATTTCACAGAACAAACATGAACAGAGAGTGTACAGGAATAACATTATAAAAGCATAGCTTTCAGTTTGGATGATTTTCTGGGGTCAGAAAGTTCAGTCATTCATTTTTTCTCCATACAGAAGTAACCCATAAGGCTCCAAAACTGGCTTATCTTTTGCATCAAAAAAGGTAACAATATGCTGATTAGCTGGTATTACCTTCCAATTGAATTACATGTTTCTGTGAAAATACCAAAAAAATCATGCAATCTGCTCTTGCTCTGCCTGCTTCTCATGGGGTTTATTACAGAAGATGAAAAATAACTGAAAAAGGTCATGACTGAAATTTGTCATTCTCTTGACTGACATTTGTGCCATTCTCTCCACATATGGAGCACTACATGCAGTAGAATGTTTATTAAGTGTTGTTGTTGCATAAATTCCTACATATTTGTTAAAAAGACAAGGCTGAAGGAATGCATCCTATTGTTTTAGGTGCAGAGACTGATCCTCATAGAGCGAGAGAGTTTATTTTATGGTCTTGAGCCAAACTCAACAAAGTTTTGTCTCTTGCTGGTATTAGACTGTGTCTCATTGCAGAATCTGTTATTTTGGAGACAGTTACCACTCATAATCATCAAGCCAGAGGTTTAGACCAGTGTTTTTTTAATCTTTTAAAAAAATGTTCAGACTCTAAACAATTTTCCAGTGGAGGTATAAAAACCCTGTGTAGTTAAGTTGTACATATTCACAATATATTCGCACCTCATAGATACTTTTTGTGACCCTTTAGGAAGTAATGCATGGACTCCCCTCTGTGATCTGTGGATAACAAGTTTATGTCCAGTGCTTTGGCTATGATGACTGAAGAAATAACATACATGAATAACAAATAAGATATAAAAACTTCAGTTTGCTTGAATCATTTGTATTTAAGAAGTTAAAATCCTTCTTTTAGAATAAACATTCTTCTCAATTCAGCATGGTTTTCACAGGCTTTTCATCTACACGTGCAGACGTGTGAAGGGAAGAATGTAGTTTCATGTATCAAATTATTTTCTACAAATGAGGATGAGCCATATAATTTATAAACACAATAAGAGCAAACAGCCCACTGTATCAAGCCAACTAATACTGTATCCTGTGGGAAAATAGTGTTTGCATTTCCTGTAAAACAAAAGATGAAGTCTTTCTACTTTAAAATCAGTGGCAGTTCTGCCTTTGATTTTATTTGGAATTCCCTCCTATGCATGACACCATCCATTCCAAACAATGTTGGTGGAATACCAAAGAGGCAGTCTGTTTTCAAACTTGCAATACAAAAATGTTGAGTATCAAATTCTGTTCCTTCCATGTAAATATGGAAGGGCTCAACTGGAGCCACTGAATTATTAAGGGCTTATTTAAGTGTAAGTGAAGGTGGGATCTAGCCTAGAATTTCTTTGACTATAGAAGGTGCATTCTTCCTTGCAGATGTTGGGTGATATGGTGTTTTTTTTTTTTAATGTGAACATTCGATGAATTAATTCATAATGTGCAATAGCTGCTGAAGTATGTGAAAGATCGTCAAAAGAGAGTGATGGAAGAAGTCAGAGGTGCTCTGATCTTCTCTTGCCCAAGTCTTTGAGAGGTAGTTTATGCTTCTGCTAGCCATGTTCAGTATACCAGATACCACATCAGTTCTATAGTAGTAAATGGCTGTGGTACTAAGCACACATTAAAATTTCTGCAAGTCAGACAGAAATTTTTTTGCTTCTTAAAAAACATTCTCTAGGTCCACATAGTTTTTAAGGAGTTTCATCATTGTTGTTTGGTGTGATAACAGCTGTAGCTCTTCCTGGTCTCTATTTCTGCTGTCACTTGCTCTGTATTTGGGAGCAAGTTTTAGGGGGTGGAGGCATGGCTACTGCTACCCTGAGATTGTTCAGCATAAGAGCAAAAGAATGATCTTCTGCAGCAGGATGCTTCCTCTCTATCTCCTTCCTCTCTCCTCCAAGTCAGCTGTTGATTAGCCTGTCTAAGATTTTCGTAATAGCTTTTTAGTCATTGTAATAGCTTTGCATTAGTGACATATGAAGAGCTTTTTAGGTACCAGTATTCTAAAAGCTTCCAGCAGTATCACTCTGCATTTACATGAGGCCAGAAGGAAGAATTTAACCAGCTGAGAAGTAAGTTTTCCATTCACATGTTTAAGGTGTGAAAAAGTGCACAACACACTTTACTACACGGTTGCTATGAAACAGAGACCTACAACTCTGAATAGCAGCTGTTGTCTGTATGATGAAAAGACATCCTTTATTTCTCCTTTAGATAGTAGACAAGTTATTTTCACTGTTTAATCAATATGAACATAGTATCTGGAATTTTAAGCTTTTCTTAGCCTGTTGGTGTACTCACTGGAAATGTCAACTTAATCATATCAGATGAAACAGAAAAACTGTTTTTTTCGAAGCTGATGATTTTTTTTTTGTTTATTTGCGTATCTTAAATAAACACTTTGGTTTGCTGGCTCCAGAATCCCTCTTACATGTCTAAAAGGTCTATTCATTAGAAAAGTTGCCCTATTAAATTGATCAGTACAGACAAAGCTTCTTCGGTAACCTTGGAGGACCTTCAGGATGTAGCATATGAATCAGCCCACCTAGATCAGTTTTAAACGCCAAAGCAGTATCAACCTCGCACCCTCCATGGTATAGTTGGTTCATGCTGACAGGTAGAAGATGCCTTTTTTGCTCTTTTTGGTCGGGATCTCTGTACATTTTATGACATTAAGATAGGGTATGGTCTTTCCACTTGAAGCATCCACCCATTTCCCAAACCATCATCTCACAAACATTTGTATGACCTAGGGATGCATGAATTACTCCACCCATTGGAAATTCTCCACAAGATGCACTTCATTGTAATTCCAGCCTAGGAGATTTAAGGGAGATTTCAAGAAGATTGTATGTTGAGTCTTGAATTTCATAAGCATAAGGACTATATTTGCTTGAAGCGAACCCTTTATAGAGAATGTTTTCAAGCACTTTGCAATAAGAAAACTATTAGTGTTAAATGTGATTTATTATTAATTGTGCACAGATGGTTTCAGGCTATATTTACTACCATAGTAACTGCATTATCAAATAAAGAGAAGATTCTGTACTTCATGAAAAGACATATGAAATGAAGAAAATTGTAAATTTACAAGAACAGATTGGATAATAGGATAGGAAAATTACCAAATATGTATTTACTTACCACTCTCTATACTTTTCTTAATGAGCAGAAGCAATGAGAGAAAAAAGCACTTACCAAAAATTATACTCTTTAGGTAGAGTGTTATTGCAGGAATGATACTGTCCTGCATGCCATGAGCAAACTATTAATTTAGGTCTACTTGAAAGTGGGCACCTATGACTCCTCATCAGCACTTTCCAGCTTAGGCAGGAAAGAGGAAGACATTGCTTCTGGTTTTGCCAGTGTAGTTTCAACATTGGAAAAAGAACTCTAATTATATCCATGAGCACTGTATTTGGGCAATATTGTGGCAGTGCAATTCAAAGCTGTGCTTGAGCCCTGGAGGGTAAGAAATCATAGCTGTAATCCGCCTGTGCTTTGGGAACTGGAGAGCCCTGAGTCCACAGCACCACTGAGGCAGCAGGGCTTCCCCATCACAGAAAAATGATCTGTGATACCATGCTTTGCCATGGCCCTTCCACTGTTCCTCACTCTGGGCCTCCAGGAGAACCTCCGAGGACAATGTCTCCTGTTGCCTGTGACAGGGCAGTTCACTAGTGGAGGTTTTTAGTGCTTTCATCCATGAGAAGAAATGAGATATAGCCCTTGTTAGCTGTATATCTAAGAAGAATTCATGGAGGTATCAACCTTTGCAGAACTGGCAGAGAGTATAAGAGCTAGCAGGCTCCATTATGGGAATATTTGTTTTAATCTGTTTCAAGCTTCCTTCTTTTTGCTCACAGTTTGACAACTCCCAGATGACAGCATAAATATACATTTATCTTTAAAATTCAGTTAGAAGTTCTAACCGTGCAAGATACTGCTTTAAGTATGTAATCTGGTATGTGAGAATATCTCTTCAAGCTTCACAGGTATTTTCTTCAGC